CTCTCTATCTCTGCCTGTCTGCAGTTATCTATCTATATATGCAGTTACTTCTTGCCGGTCCTATATATACGAAATAGAGGGCGTTTGGTAAACACTCGAGCCTTCACTAACGTTCTAGATACTCATTACGTGTTACCAGAGTCACGTGAATTCCGCTGTCGTAACAATATTTTGAGCAATATGTTAGCTCCAGAGACGATGTGGTTGTGACTATTAAGGATTATTATCGTATAATATATATATAGTGGATAAGCTCGTACTTCGCGTATGAGGAGTATTTAAACTTCAGGTTTAATTGTCGGTTTTTAAGCATTTGTCTAATTTGTACTGAGATGTAATAAATGGTATTATGTTATTTATAAGCCAAGTAAAGGTAAAGAATGAACTTTATGTGTTTCCTTGCGTGTTTGATTATGATAATGAAAGAGGCGTCGCTAGATGTTTAACCCTTCGTTTACGGCTTGTGTAAATCTGCCTACCACCCCATGCGCAAAGAATCGCAAATTTTAGCGGTGGGCCATTCAAAATGTTGCGCGCAAAATGCTTGCATTATATGATGTCAACCGCAGTTGAAGGGTCAAAAGATTCGGGGCTCGTACCTATAGGCGCGTGAATTTTCTGCTTTTCAGTATGATACTGATCATAGTTTTCTGTTCTGGTTTTACAAAATACCAACGAGGATCCGGGGTAGGGACCCCGTGTGCCACCGCCTAGCGACGCCTCTGATTAATGAAGTAATTATCTTTAATGTTATAAACGTCATAGTTTTCACTCGTATAGAACAATGCACGTTAAATATTGCCCACTTATGCACTCATGTAAAAGTAACACTGTACAATTAAAATAGCCAATAGGAATATTGAGTTTCCATGTGAGCTAGCACGCATACATGCATAGACTAGCTGACGTACTTTTTTTTAAATTAAAAAAAAACAAAAAACCCACGAGCTGGTTTTTAACTTGATCGAAGAGTTTCAGTTAGAAATAGCATTTCACTTTCAGCACTAACAATAAAGATAATAACCTGGAAAAAAAGAGAAAATATTATTGTATAAAAGTAAGCATTTTAAGAGAAACTGTGTATTTTTTTAAAAATAAATGTCTCAATTCGAAGAATGATTCATTAATATATGTTCTCATTCATGTTTTCCACGGATTATTACACAGGATGTTTTAAGTAGGTTTGGGAATAAAATAATTTCAAGATGCATCTTTGTTGTTGAATGCTTTTATTGCATCTTTATCCAATTTTATAAAGCTAATCATTTACAAATACGAACTTTTAACTTTCACAAAAAAGTATTTTAATGATACGTTCGCTTTGACAATGTCGCTAACAATAATCGAACTTGAAACAACGCTGAAGTAGCTATGATACATAATAATATTATACTAAACAGGAAATTATTAAACTCAGTAAATTTATTCAAGTACCACTAAATAACAGCAGACTACTTTGATGAAAAACTTACAAACTAAATTAAGCCTAAAATTATTGGACATTCTTCAAGTACTAAGACAGGTTGTTAATACAACACACACACACACACATGAAAATGTAATATCATCGCGCACGTCTAGTTTCAATGTTCTAACTATTAGACCATTAAACCACTCCAAAGCTACACAATTGGCTATCTGCACTCTATCCACCACGCGAAACTGAACCCCGGATTTTAGCGTTGGAAGTTCGTTAACTAACCGCTCACCCAACGGAGGGACAGCATATTTAGTCAAAGCTGCTTATCTAAGATGTGCTCCGTGAAGTTAACAAATGTCTGAAAAAATTGATAATATGTAAATACAATCAATATGGTAAAGATAGTAAAATGTGATAAGGTTCTAGTTGAAGAAAATTCTACCATCTTGGTTCATTGTTGTTTGTATTTCCTAGAGGTTTAAAAATGTAACATCAGAACAAGTTTGCTGAAGGTAGGTATCAACCACCTATCAATAAACGAACGAGCTCTCAATCACAGATCCTTCTAGCTCCGGAGGCCCAGCATGGCCAGATGGTTAGGGCGCTCGACTCGCAATCTGTGGGTCCGAATCCCCGTCACACCAAACATGCTCGCCCTTTCAGCCTTGGGGCGTTATAATGTGACGGTCAATCCCATTATTTGTTGATAAAAGAGTAGCCCAAGAGTTGGCGGTGGGTGGTGATGACTAGCTGCCTTCTCTCTAGTCTTATACTGCTAAGTTAGGGATAGTTAGCGCAGATAGTCCTCGTGTAGCTTTGCGCGAAATTCATAACAAACAAACCAAGCTAACTTCCGATGAAGAATTAACAACCACTATCCTGATGTGCTTAAACTTTTTTTTTTCCAGACTTTTAGCTTATCAAAGGGACGATACATAATTTGAACCTACAAAGGAATTTCTTTAACCATGGATCTGGTGGTTTCGCCTATAAAAATTAGATTTTTAATACAAAAGTATTATTATTGAAATTTTATGTTTTAGACTAAGATTAATGGGTGTATTTGTGTATATGACTCTATTGCCGTGATTATCTAACGTCAAGAATATCTATCATTAAACGTTGTAGTGATTTTGGAAAAATACACAACAGTACAGATGGAAGTGTTTTAAAAAACATGATGCATTTCACTATTTACAGAATTCGTGCGTTTCTATGATAAATAAAACTTAAGGTTGGGTTCAATGCACTACAATGTCGCAAAATGTTAGCCGCGTCAGGAAAGTTTGGTTCGATCAGGAACTGTTTAGCTTTCGTTAGAGACTTGATGAATAATTAAGTATTCGTCATAATCTGACTGCTTCTGTGGAATAGGAAGAAAAATCAAACGCGTTTTAAACGCACAAAGTAAGATAAGTCTAAGTAACTATTGTTTACTCCCTACAGTAACTTTTAACAACCATAAATAATATAATTTGCACTCAACAGATTATCAGTTATACTTCCTATAAGACAATACTATTAGGCGTATTATTATTATTTTTAAACACTACATTCTTTACTCGGTCCCTTAGGGCTTTTTTTAAGAAAAATATAGCAAAATATAGTATTTCAACCACACTGTGTCCCCATATCCATTGTCAACTACGCGTTTCGCTTAATACAGACCTCATCAGGCCGTCTAGGACACAACAAACACAGTAGTGGTCGGAACACTATTTATACAAGCTATTTATTACAATAACAACTATTATGGTGTGAACGACTTTTTATGCTGACGAAGCACGCTTATAATTACATAATTATATTAGGTATAATACTAATATTTTCTGACAAGTATAATTATTATAACCATGCTTTGCCATCGTAGAAAAGGCGTTCATACCTTAACACAGTATTAGTCGTTTTGTTTTATAATGCCTCTTCTCTCGTGATATTACATGCCAATCTTTGTCCGCATGCGTTGTTGCAATATCGTGAGAACTGCAATGAAAATTGACGATTGTATCAAACGTGTTGAGAAGCTCTACAATATTTCTTGTTATTCAGTGTCACAGTTACGGGTGTTTTCGGTACTTCAACTGACTGATATTTTCTTTGTGTTTCGTAAAGCACATTTTTCTTCCTCACATTATAATCTGCTTCTTTATTACTGATTATTTTTACGTTATAGCATAATTTTCACGAGGGATGATCTAAGATTTCTGTGCATAAAACTTTACGACAAAACAGAAAACATCCACCATACTTCATATACCTAACCAATTTACAAAATAACTAAAATATTAAAAAATTTGAAATGACGTATTTTATATCCCAGCTTTTCTTAAAATATTCTTTTAATTTGAAATTCTCATATCACGTGCTCAGTACTACAACCTCAAATTCAAATGTATGAAAACAAAAACTATAAGAAAAGAAATGAAACTTTTCTCTCTTTGGACAATAAACTTCAATAACATTTGGTGGTTGAAATGTCGCTGAGGTCTTTATGTTATTCGGATAAAAAGCGAATTCCTATATATATATTGCTATAACTTCCTATAAAAAATTGTTTGTTTTGAAATTAAGCACAAAGCTACAC